AATGATTTTTGTTTGTTTTCCTGGCAGACAGGTATAATAAAAGAAGTAAGCCTCAATCAGTTGGAGTCTTTCAAGTTTCATTTTTTTTTTTAATAAATTTTGTTCAAGCTTTATACCAATCTTTTTGTAGGAGGCTTCATGTGATACTGGCCACAGTTCTATACCAGAACTAGAGATCTCCCAGCTGTTCATCATATAAAACCTACTGAGCATATGTATAAGAGCTGATGGCCAAGCAGTACATCTACACTGGTTTTTCTGAAACAACAAATATGAGGAACAGTATCATAGATGCAGAAGCAATAGCAGTTGCTGAGTTTTCCCTCTCAGCTGTCCCACTACAGGGTAATGCACAGGAATTGAGTAGCTCTGAGTGTAGACTCTAGGTAAGAGATTCTTTTTTTTTTTTTTAAGATTTATTTATTTATTTGAGAGAGAGACAGAGAGAGCATGCACAAGGGAGGTGCAGAGGGAGAGGGAGAGAATCTCAAGCAGACTCATTCCTGAGCATGGGGCCAGACCTGGGGTTCAAGGCAGGTCCAGGTGGGCTCCAGGCAGGGCTCAGTCCCAGGACCCCCAAGATCACAACCTGAATAGAAGCCATATGTTTAACCCACTAAGCCACCCAGGCTTCCCTCCAGGTAGGACATTCTGATGCTGCTCAGGGGGTATTTTATGTGCATGGCTGGGGAATGAGAAGCTTCTTTGCTGGCATTGTAAAGCGCTATATTCTAAGCATTTTGGTCATGATGTTGTAACACAGGGAAATCTTACTTTACCCCTATGCTGCTGCCTCAGTATTTTCACCACAGAAACCACCAGCCCACTCTTACACCTATAACCATAAAATGTGTCAGAACCTGTCATGTGAGTCCTCACTTGGGCATGTTATCCAAATTGACTATCCTAAGTGTTCAGCTATAGCTAGTTACATTGGAGACTTACAAGGGCTAACCCTCTAGCAAATCCGTATTGGATAAGTTAATCCTCTCCTTTTGTTCTAGTCTTGACTCTAAACTGTGGCTGACAGATTTTCCACAGCAGCTGAGCGAACACTTCAACCTGCAAAGGCTGTGAGGTTGGATCACTAGAACAACAACCACTGGAGAGACAGACTCAGTTTCACTTAGCATGTAGAAAATGGGGAAAATACGTCACTTCTGCTGTTATTAATCTGCAAATTCATAACTTCTCTGAAACTCCTCAGAGATCTGAGGTCATGTGGCAGCTGACTAAGCTAACATCTAAGGAAAGAGACAGGGCTTGCTTACTTGGGGTAAATATGCAACTCATGTAAACTATTATAAAGAATTAGGGTAGGGGTGCCTGGGTGGCTCAGAGGGTTAAAGCCTCTGCCTTTGGTTCAGGTCATGATCTCAGGGTCCTGGGATCGAGCCCCACATCGGGCTCTCTGCTCAGCAGGGAGCCTGCTTCCCTTCCTCTCTCTCTGCCTGTCTCTCTGCCTACTTGTGATCTCTCTGTCAAATAAATAAATAAAACCTTAAAAAAAAAAAGAATTAGGGTAAAGCTTTTAACAAGTTGCTAAAGGTAGATTGTGGGTTTATATGACAGCATAGGACCCCTGATTGCTGCAGACACAGCAATCACATGCTCCTGCAGACATGTTACAGATGTCACTGGATCCTGAAAGTTTGAAAGTTTGAAAGTGATGAAGGATTGGGGGAGATGAACAAAAGTCACTGTGCAGAGGACATGAATTCCCTTATGTCCTTAGACATAAGGAGAAAAAGTCTCCCTCTCAGGCCACTGGTGGACTCATTACAGCTGGAAATGAAACAGAGATGTTTCTATACTCCTGGGGGGAAGACTGGAAAGCATACTGAAAAAGTGTAAATACTTTCACACTGATTGCCAGACGTGGTCTGCTAAAGGAAACTGATTATTCACAGTAGCGGCTTGCTTGACACACATCCTGTCTCACTTCATGAACGTTTCTTTGCTGTTTCTTTCACCTTCCAAATAAACAGCCTGCACTAGATTCTTTAGGTCTCATGTTGTCTTTTTCCATTTTCCCTTTCTTTAGTCCTTTCTGCCCTTGAAAGAGCATCAATCTATCTTTCCTTTGTTGCATATTCCTCTCCTAGTCTCAGCCTCTTGGCTACCTAAGAGTTCCCAGACAGGCGTAAGCAGGGATCAAGCAAAACCCCAAACCAAGCCCTGGAGCACTTACTGATTTAAAAGATAAGAAAAAGTGTTCTGACCTAAGTAGGGTTTTCAGACAAAATGCAAGATCTCTAGTTAAATATAAATTTGGATTAAAAATGGTTTCTTTTCAGGGTAAGTATGCCTCAGGCAATGGTTTTTGTTGTTGTTGTTGTCTTTGCAATATTTGTTGTTGATCTGAAATTCAAATTTGACTGGGAATTCTATATTTTAATTTGCTAAATCTGGTCACCCTACAAGCCCAAGGAGTGGATTGGCTAGAAAAATGGAGACAAATACGTATAGGTAGCAAAAATTCTTTCAGTGAGAAGGAAGGTTTATCCTGACCACCCACTCAGAAGTATGTTCTCACCAGCCCTCTGCACACATATCAGTTGACCTACCCACTCATTCCTCAGTCCCATGTGTTTTGATCAGATTTAATCAAGTATTTGGGTGCCCAACTAATATTTTTCAAATGACTGAAAGACCTCAGGGAAGAACCCATAAGAAGGGGTCAGAGGATGGGGAACCAGATGGATCTGGTGTTTTGTAAAGACTGTAGCCCTGTAAGTACCCACAGAACTTAACTTTCTTTCTTTTTTTTTTTTTAAATTTATTTATTTGACAGACAGAGATCACAAGTAGGCACAGAGGCAGTCAGAGAGAGAGGGGGATGCGGGTTCCCTGCTGAGCAGAAAGCCCAATGCGAGACTTAATCCCAGGACCCTGGGATCAGGACCTGAGCCGAAGTGGAGTCATACAGTGTTTTTTGTTTTGTTTTGTTTTTTTTGACTGGTTTATTTCACTTAGCATTATGTCATCAAGATCCATCCATATCATCAGAATTTTCTGCCTTTTTAAAACTGAGGAATATTCAATTGTAGGTATAGGTCACATTTTCTTCATTCATTCATCAGTGGATCTTTGGGAAGCTTTCACCTCTTGGCTATTGTCAATAGTGTTGTTATGAACATGAGGTTTGTAAGTATCTCTTCAAAATCCTGCATTGGATTCTATGAGAGTATATACCCAGAAATAGAATTATGATCATACAACAATTCAATGTTCAATTTTTTGAAGAGCCACCGTAGTGTATTCCACAGCAGCTGCACCATTTTACATTCCCACCAATCCTTAGCATAATGTCTACATTGTAGCAATGAATCCTCAATGTACCCTAATCATCAGATTGAGCAGACACAAATAAGCATGGGTAAGAAATACACACACACACACACACACACACACACTCCATCATGGGAACTCTACCTCCATTATCTCACCTAAACCCAATTACCTCTCAAAGATCTCATCTTCTCGGGTGCCTGAGGGGCTCAGTGGGTTAAAGCTCTGCCTTTGGCTCAGGTCATGATCTCAGGGTCCTGGAATTGAGCCCCACATGGGGCTCTCTGCTCAGCAGGGAGCCTGCTTCCCCCTCCCTCTCTCTCTGCCTGCCTCTCTGCCTACTTGTGATCTCTGTATATCAAATAAATAAAATCTTAAAAAAAAAAAACTCATCTTCTCATACCATCACATTGGGCATTTCAACATATGAATTTTGTAAGGACACAGATAGCCCATAACATATGTGTACATGATGTATGTTTATGTATATGTGTGTATGTATTTTTAATTTCATATATACTTTTGCAAGAGAATTTGTATTTGTTGGGGTGATTGTGCATTATTTCTATGGTCTGATGGCACAAATTTCATTTGCCCTGATTTAATTAATTAATTAAATGACACCATGCTCCAGCTATATGTCTCAAATTTTAGTTTTACAGTATACTTATGCATATTTATAATATACCTACAGTATTACTTAATTGTATAAAGTACAAACTTCTCTGCTAGATTTTCGGCCTACAAGTCACTATGTATAAAACAGATATGTATTATGATCAATGACCAGTCATGTCATCTACTTGTAAGTCTGTCAATGATTGATTCGTGTGCATCTGTCTTTAGTTAGCACGTAGACAATTAAGTGTAAAGTTACGTTACCTCTTCACCTCACAGTGATAAATTTACATGATATTTTACAAAAATAAGTAATCAATAGAGGGAACTGTTCAATAATGATTAAATGCAGCAAAGAAATAAAAAGTGGTAATGCTGAAAGTCAAAGTCAAATAGAAAATGGGCAAATAGAGGAGCCCCTGGATGGCTCAGATGGTTAAGAACCTGCCTTCTGCTTAGGTCATGATCTCAGGGACCTGTGATGGAGCCCCACATTGGGCTCCTAGCTCAGCAGGTAGTCTGCTTCTGCCCCTACTTCTATTCCTCTCTCTGCCTCTCCCCTTGCTCATGCTGTCTCTGTCTTTGTGTCTCTCTCTCTCAAATGAATAAATAAAATCTTTAAAAGACAGAGAGAAAATAGACAAGTAGAAAGAAATAGCTGATCATGAATATATTGATATTTCCACTTTTGGAGAAACTCTAGATATGCAGCGAGAGGAATTTTGAAGGCAACCATCAACAAAAATAAGGGATAGAGTTGTGATGAAAAGGATGGAGATGTCCCAGAGAAGTTATAACTACGAATAATTTTTACATAAAAGGGATTCTGAGGTGTTTCATGACATTCCAAATGCAAAATAAATAAGTAAATAAATAAATAAAATGCTGAAAGCCCAATCAAACTTAGAAGTATGAAAGTTTAGGAAAGCTTTTATGCTTTCCTTATACTCTCTTCTTTCTTTATACTAGCTCCATGTTTCAGGTTACACAGGAAGGTATGAGCCTCTCTGTGCTCAGCTTTGAGGAGTTGGCAGGTGGGAGGTAAGGAACCAATCAGAGACTGAATTCTTGGAGTTCTTTCTGTGGTCCAGCCAATCCTAGGCTGCTGAGCCCACACCCCTGGAACAAGGGTAGCGGTTAGTGCTGCCTGGAAACCATTACCGTTCCAGCTTCATAACAGAAGGGCCTTGTCTATGAGCTTTGGAGATGGAGAGCGAAGGGATTGAGAATAGGGATGGGATGGAGGTTGTCGAGCAGAAGGTCAAGAGACCAGGTAATGGGGGGGCCACAGAGATTGTCCTTGGGTACAGAAACTGAGCCTCCCGCGATTATCTTAGCATCCTTTCTTGATCCCAATTTGTGTACTCAGCACTTTTGTTTTTAATTGTCCATAATCTGCCCTAAATAAAAGCGGTATTCCTCAATAAAACCAAGACTACAAAGAAATGATGGATCCACTCCTCTCCACCAGATTTTTCCCCCTCGGAAGAGGCAGCAATAAAAAAGTCCCAGGATGAAGTTTGGTTTTCTATTCTGGACCCAAGGCAAGAAAACTGAGTAGGTAAAACAGTTGTCAGAAATGGCACTAAAAAGTGGAGCCAAAGCACTTTTGAACTCTGGCTGCTGAGAAGTTAGCTCTGAGTACCCTTTCTCATGTTCCCAATATTAATTGCTGTGTTGTGAAGAGTAGCACCTATAGAAGATAGAGAAATAGGTAAATCTTACTTGAGTTTTCTGTTTGCTTGTTGTTTGTTTTTTTCTCTAGAATATAAACAATGACATGCATCTTCCTTAGGTGTAGTAACGAAGAAAATGCTAGTCATGTCAAGTATGCTATGTGGAGGCATCGCTTTTCTTCTTTGGGCAATGTTAGGATTTCCTAGAAAATGTGAGTAACCAATTTCTGTTAAAAATACGTTAATTGTATTATCATTACTTCAGTCTCATATCAATGACTAGCCTGTTCTTCCCTAACACAGAATAATTAGAATCAGAAAGCATTCTCCCAGCCAGAGCACCTAATTGCTTTTTAAAGCTTGTCACTTGATTTGCCTTCTAGAAAGATTAATCTTTTTTTTAAAGCTTATTTATTAAATTTATTATTATTTATTAAAGTAATTTCTACACCCAATGTGGGGCTCAAACTCACAACCTTGAGATTAAGAGTCGCATGCTTTACCAACTGAGCCAGCCAGGTGCCCCATAGAAAGATTCTTCTTTTAATACCTATTGAACTTTGGGCATAGTATTAGATGATGATGCTACCAAAATGAAAACAAAGCGGGGGGGGGGGGGGGGATTTTGGCCTGAAAGGAATTAATCTTTGATGGAAGAAACAAATAGTAACAATAAAATAATTGCTAAATAGAAGTATGTTCAGTTTGAAGAGGAAGAGGAGATTATAAGTCTGCTTTTGGTAGTCAAGCAAAACTTTGTGAAGGGAAAGGTGTTTGTGCTGAACCTTAAGTTCAAGTAGGCATTTATGAGAGTGCCTTAGATGAAAGAAAGAATGAGAGTGTCAGAGAATTATGCCAGGTGTAAATGTGATAGAGTTAAAAAGAAGTGGGGTGGGGACTAGCAATTGGATTACTGTTCCTTAGTGCATTAACTCTCTTACTCCCATAGATGATTACGTTATACTTTTCCCCTTTTCTTCAGAATGCTTCAGTCTCAGGTCTATATTTGCTTTCAATTTTACCTCATAAACTATAACAAACTTACTAAAAAACTTCCAAATACTCTCGTGACCACCCCTACTTGCTTACCTCTATCCCTACCTGTAATACACTCTGTCTAGAATCCTGGTACTGTAGATAGAGTTTTCATGTTCTACTTCAGTTTCTATAGCCTCTCACCTGGTCAATTATGTGACTATAATAATGTTTCTCTCTCTCTCCTACATTATAGTTTTTCCATAGTCAGCTGAAACATCCCCATCAGTAGTACATTATGGTAATATCTCTCTTACCTTAAAAAAAAATTGATTAGCCCTCACTCTTTCTTCACTATCAATTTCTTTTTTCTTCCGTTACAGCAAACTCCTAGAAAAATATTTTTTTGCTAAGTTTTTCTAATTTCTGTCTTCCTATTTTTTGTCAATCTACTCTGATCAGGCTCCACTTCCTTTTTCTTCTACAGAATTTTTCTTTCAAGTTCATTGGCAACTTCTGTGTTGCTAAATTTAGTCCTTTCTCAGTTTTCATCTTACTTGACCTCTTTGCAGTATTCAGCAATCTCTCTTCCTGGAAATAATTTCTTCATTTGGCTTCCAAGATACCATTCTCCCATGATTTGCTTTCTACCTAACTTGTTGGTTCTTCCAGCTTTCCTTTGCTTATTCTTTCTTTTCTCCCTGATGTCTTAACTTTGGGGTGCCCTGGGGCTCAGTCCCTGGGCAGGTCCCTTCTTTACCTACCCTTGCACCCTTGGCAATCTGAACCTTACTTGCAACTTTGTCACACTTACAATGAACTCCAAGTACATGTCTCCAATATGTGTCTCTTAACTGGATTCCAAATTTGTAACCCATTTAGGGGACTGTCTAATAAACTTCTCAAGCATAACATTGTCCAAGCTGAAATCTTATTCTGGCTTTCTCTCATAACCCCTTCTTATCTGTGGTCTATCTTATTTCAGGAAACAGCAACTTTGTCTTTCCAATTTTTAAACCAACCTTATAGTCATATTTGACACTTTTTCCTGCCTCATACCCATATTCCCCACATAATCAGCAAATTCTTCCTGGTCTTTCAAAATATAAATAGGATCTGTGTACTTTTCACCACTTCTACTGTTACCACCCTCTACCTAGCCAACATCCTCTTTTCTAAATGTTCTTCCCTCTTCTACCCTTTACCTCTTAGGGCAAGGTTGTCCAGTGAAAAAAATGAGCCACAAATATCATTTATATTTTAGATGGCACACTGAAAAATTAAAAAAAAAAATACAATGAAAACAGTTTTCATTGTATTTTTTGTTTAACCCAGTGTGAAAAAGAAAATAAAATGGAGTCATTTACATCAAAGTGTTTTAAAATGTATCCAGGAGGCCATTAAGGAGGTAAGCCTTATGCGTATCCTCCAAAACTTTCGAACCAGGCCAAACCCCAAATATTCCAAGGGTTCTGCAAGACCTCCTGGAATTTGCTACACTAATGAAAGCCTTAGCCACCAATTATGCTTACCCAAGATTAGTTTTCTGCTATCAGCACCGATCAAAATTCTTTGTAATACATAATATATACAAACCTTCCTTTTTTTTTCTTTTAAAACTCCTGACTTTTGCTCCCTAGAAGGATGCTATTTGGATTGCCACTCAAATCTATAAACACTGAATTGCAATTCTTTGATTTAAAAAATGCTCTTGCTTAGCTCTTGCCTCCTGAAAATTTTAGGTTAATATCAGTATAGTCAATATATTATCATTTCACCATCTATCAATTTATTACTAATGATATTTTTAAAACTTTTGTACTAAGTTTTTAATATTCACTGTGTATCTTATAGGATATTTGGAGTTGATTTAGCCATATTTCAAATATCGATAGCAATGTGTAGCTAGTGGCTACCATACTGGACAGTACACTTCTAGAATACATTTAAAAAATTTTTCAAAAACAAATCAGATCTGTTTAAAATGCTGCTATGGTTATTCATTCATTTGGAGTAATGCCAAAATCTTGCCAATGGTCTACAAGGCTCTATTGGATCTAGTCATCCAGTCACCAGTTACATCTGTGATCTCATCTCCTCCCACTTGTCCCTTCACTCAGTCTTCTTCAGTCATACAGGCATCCTCACTATTTTGTGAACAAGCCAGGCCTTCACCTTGGTCTTTTGTACTGTTTCTTCTCTTTGTTAAGGGAGATCTTCCCAGATATACGCATATTCCTCACTAGTTCACCACCCTCAAGTTTTGATAAAATCACCCTCTGGTTGATCCTATCCTGGCTACTGTATTAAAATTGTAAGACTTTCTACCAATAACCCTAATCCCCCTTAATGACAAACTATAAAATTTAGTACACAAGCAAGTCCCATAAAAGCAAAGATTTTTTTGGTATCTTATGTACACTGTTGTATTTCTAGACCTACAGAAATGTCTGGCACATGATAGAAGCTCAAGTGGTAGTTGTCAAATGAATGAATGAATGAATGAATAAATGATAAAAGTTGGTTTTCTGGTAACCCAAATTCTGAACCAAATACTTGATTTTTTACTAACTTGTACAAACTGTTACTGTATAAACTTTACTAACTATACTGCTGGTTTCTTGTATAATTTGAAGATTTTCTCATTCATAGGCTTGACTATGAACTAGTCATTTATTTCAACTGTGAAGAGGTGTCCTTTTGGTGAGCTTTTGTTTTCTCAGGGCTATACCTTAATAAGTAACTTCATCTGTCTAGTTTCAGTAAGTTGGAAAGTAAAAAGTGGATAGCAGAATGGTAGTAAATTCCAAACTTTTTTTCCTTGAATTATTTTGTGTTTAAAAACAAATGAACAACTTCAACTTCTGGGGAAAATCTGTTCTTGAAAGACAATCTAGTCTCAATTAAGCCAGCAATAGGAAGCCAACCCTCTGAGGTTATGGATACAGATAGTTGGTTTATTTACAGTGAGACATGTCCCAGGCACCTTAGTAAATTATAGGAAAGGAAATGGGTAAATAGAGAAAATGCCAATAATATTTAAAAAAATGGGAGGAAACTGGCTAGAGAAGATTTTTTGTTTATTGGTCTACTGTTGCTATATTAAATAACGCATACACCTGCGTTTTTCAGTCTTGATTTCTTTCATGCTATGTTCTTAATTTTTTTTCTGAGTTGACATTTGAAGTTCAATCATTTGAATTGAATATGGAAGTAAAATACATTTTCTCAATATGAAATATATCTTTTATACTGAAGGTAAGACTCTTCCTTTCTCTTAAACTTTCTTCATTTTTTTTTCTACCACTGTGTTAATTTTAGTTAAAAATCCAAGGATATTTAAAGACAATACATGCTCTGAAGATGAAACTATATGTCCACAAGGCTGGAGCCAAATCAATAATAATTGCTTCTTTCAATCTGAACATGAAAAAACTTGGATAGATGGCCAAGCAAACTGCATAGCCTATCGTGGATCTCTCGCCATATTCAACTCCAAGAATGAAGTGGTTAGATTTCTCCTTTGCAATATACATCACATCTAATTTATTGAGTAGCTATTATATGACAGGTATCCTTCTAGGGTATGATATATCAGCCAACAAAACAAAGATCTTTGCCTTTCTGGAGCTTATATCCAGAGGAAGAGACAGGGAATGAAAAATAATCAAAACGAATGTGTAAATTGTATAGTATATTAGAAGTTAGTAAATTTTGATAAACATATATATGATTTATGTATATAACATACGTGTGTATGATATGAAATAGATATGAATAAGTGATATTCTCAGTGTTCTAAGTGGGAAGGTTGCATGTAAGATAGTCTTACTGAGATGATACTGAGCAAAACTATTGGGTGGAAAAGACTTAGAGAAATATCTGGGGAATCAGCTTCCCAAGAAGAAGAAACATCTAGAACATGGACCTCATGGTAGGTATATGCCTGGAATATTCAAGGAACAGAAAAGAAAATCAGCCAATGTGCCTAGAATGAGGAAGTGAGTGAAAGATATGGGTGATTAGGGTCTTGGAGGCTATAGTAAATACTTTGGTTTTCCTCCAAGTAAAATAGGGAAGTACTGCAGAACTATGAACTAAAGTGAGACACAATTTGACTTAAGTTAAAAAAAAAATCATTATCATTGCTGTGATGAGCTAATGGGTGGCAAATCTAAAAGTAGAGTGCCATGTTACAAGGTTATTGCAATAACCCTAGCAAGACATAATGAGCCCAAGGAATGACCATAGCACTGGAGGTAGTGAGAATGAGAAAACTCATTCTCAAATCTTTAATGAAACAGCACCCCGTGTTTCATTAAAGGAATCTTTGATGCCCTATCTGGAACCTTCTTCATATTGGATTGGACTAAAGAAGCCAAATGCAAGCGCACCCTGGGTGTGGGCAAATGGAGATGCATTCGACAATTGGTAAGATTTAATAACATTTATTATAAAATATGCTAAGCAAGGTAAGGAATCTAAGCCTATAATCAGCTACCCTTATAGTTTCCTCCACATTATCTCCCCAAAAGACCATCAATGTATGTAGATGCCAAAGAGAACCTTCAAACAAATATATAGTCCTTAGTGAGGTTTTGGCATCAAATATCAACATCTACTTCTATATGGTAAATTAGAATGTATATACTACATGTGTACCACAAGTGTTCTTTTAATCTAAGACTATATAAAAATCTAACTAGCTTGATCCTTGCTTCTTTCCAGTTGGGGTTTTGTCTCTATCTGTTTGTTTATTGTTGTTTTGGACTGTCATTGCTAGGGAGTCTGAGAGAGTGTACTCAAGTCTACATACCACACACACTGGTGAACTGAAATGGAAGGGAATGAGTGAGAAAGAAAAAATGCATGCTCTAGGCGATCTTTATTTAAAATTTTCGAACTTTTCGAACTTCTCAATGTTTCCTAGCTTGAAGAACTGATTATACCTCTCAACTCCGTTTTCGTTTTTGAAACATTTGATTTTTTTCCAACTTCAGAGAGGAGAAAGGAAAAGAAAGAATATTGAGTTCCCTGTAAAGGGAACCCCTAGTTATAATTTATTTAGCATCTAATTCTGTGCTAGATATTATATGAGGGGTGACCCAACAAAGAAATAGCAGGACTTTCTAAAAGTAAACTTCTATTATTGTATTTATATCCAATTTGGGGTGAAAATACACAATGATTTGAGGATAATAATATAGACAACTCTGAAAAATGTAAGAAAACTATGACATAAATTAAAATTTCTATCAAACCTAATATAATGATATTTTCTTTAGAGAAAATATTGGCAGTTTAATATGATATTATATATTATATATAGTCCTACTTAAAAATAAAAAATGAGAAAGAAGTAAAAACTAGAAGTTGGTTAAAGATGGTGTATTAGTTTGCTAAGGCTGCTGTAGCAAATATCACAGACTAGACAGTGTGAACAACAGTTCTAGAGACTAGAAATCCCAGATCAAGATGTCAGGAGAGTTGATTTCTTCTGAGGCCTCTCTCTTTGGCTTGTAAATGGTCATCTTCTCCCTCTGTGTCTTCACATGTTCTTCCCTCTGTGCAAATGCTTATCTTGTTCAAATATTTTCTCATGAGGACACCACAAATATTGGATTAGGGCTCTAAAGATCTCTCTTTAACTTAATCACCTCTTCAAACACTTCATCTCTTAATATGGTTATATTCTGAGCTACTAGGGGTTAGATCTTAAACATCTGAATTTGGGGGGGACATAAGTAAGCCCATTGCAGTTAGCATTAGGGTAGGCACAGAAATGGACACGTATTTTGGAAACAGGATAAATTCTGAATATATCCTAAAAGCTGGGAAAGTGCACACTAGTGCCACAAAGTTTCCCCAAAATGAGGTGCTAAAACATTTTAATTGCCATATAACCAGAAATCCATCATAACTCAACATTCTCTTTTTCTCATTTTGAATTTTCAATTGTGTATGTTTTATGTGACCTAAAAGAAGAATTTAGAAAACCCTTCCTAGGTATTTTATTTGTGATTATTTACATGTTTCACAGTTCATCAGGTGAATACCTATTTCACTATTACTATGCTAATAGTTTCAAAATACGGTTGAGGGAACATCTACTTCAGCCTTTTGACCAGTTTTGTAAATGTATGCAGGGGTGTGGGAATCAGTGAAATTTCAGTTATACTTTACCTGTATATGATCTTTAAATGGTTCACTATATTTACTTTTGTTCTTTTGTATAAAAGGAAGGATCTAATCCTTCCCAAAGTGATTTTCAATGTTTACTCCACTGTAAAACGGCATCAAGTTCCAGGATTCTTTGTTGTTACTGCAGTGAAGTTCCTTGGTGTTAGTTTCTTTCCACACCACCATCCCGAAGTGAAGTTTGGAAGCTGGAGAGGAGAGAAACAGTTCATTTCACTCCTTCTACTCCTTTTTAGTTGCAAATTTTGAAACATGGTCACCAAAGTTACATATTTTAGTCTGTACGTAGTTATTTTTCATGCAGTTCGATAAATAATTAACCTCCTTATTTTGTTCCAGGTTTAATATTGAAGGAAGTGGAACGTGTGCCTTCATGTTTAAGAATGGCATAAGCAGTGCCAGTTGCAATGACGCAATAAAATATGTATGCAGCAGAGAATCCTTTTGTCCTTAGACAAAGGGTCCTTCATAATAAAGTAAATAAAATAATTAAAGAAAGACTATCCTTTTATGTGTTATAAATTCATATGAATACATTTTCCTTCCCATCAAACATATGCTTTAAGTTGCTTGATAAAATTTTAAATGACTTCTATCTTCATTTAAATAACTTATCTAAGAAGTCAAGAAACTAAACTGAATTTTTACATGATGTCGCTTCGCCACATAAATTGGTGTGTCTAAGCCTGGGGGTATAACAGTGGTCTTGTTCACAACTGATTCAACAACATGCCTCAGCGGAACAGACTGGAGGGTAAAGAGGAAGGAGTGAAAGATTCCTCTGTCGGAAATTCAATTTAATTTGCCTACAAGAGATGAGAGATGAAGCATGAAGTGAGCACTGCGTGTTCCACTCAGCCTCCAGTGGTATGTAGCCCATTGAGAATTTGGAAAGAAGGCCATGGGACAAGTACTCAGATTAATTAGGATTTTTTACTTTGTATTACCGTCAAAGACCAAATCCCCTGAAAATACATTTATACAATCTTTCACAGTTTCCTAGATCTTTATTCAAGCTACTAAGGTGAAGAATTACATTACATGGATTTGTTGTTGCTGAAATCACTGAATCAGACTTTGGGATGTAAGTCATGGTGAGCAGAACATAACTATTGAGAGAAGGAGCAGAATGTGAGGAAAGAAGCCCGGTAACTTGAAGAAATGATGGGGTTTCTCTGGTCTTTCACTAAAGCTGAGGGATTTAGATCCCAAATCACATTTGAATAGGAATCTAAGGGACCAAGGGTGAGGGTCAACATCTAGTTTTCATTAAAAATCTGTGCACATTTTAGTACTTAATGTTTCAGTCTATATTTTCTTTTTATATTTACAAACACAATAATTCTCTCTTGAGAATATTTCATCTCAATTTTTCTTAAATAATGAGCAAATAGAAGATTATTTTAGGCTTTGCTAAACTACTTGATTGCTCCTGTTGGACTTGGGACAAAAAAAGTAACTGCAATGCAAAATGTGAAGTGCTTTAATATATGCGTATGCAAGATTGTAAAAGAGCACGTAAGAGAAGAAAAGTTCTTCAAGGTCACTGAATGCATCCTATGCCCTTTCTGTGTCCAGCATACTTTGTCATCTCATTTAACAGACTTCCAAACAGAATGGGGAATATAGGTGTTTCTACAACACCAATAAAGAATATCCAATGAAGTGAGTTCAATGTAACTTTCCAGAAATCCAAAAAAAAATAGGAAATTCTAGACCCAAGATTAGAATCCGTTCTTTCTGATTCCAAAAGTGGCTCTTTCCCAAAGTCCATAAAGCATGGACCAACCGTCCTAGCATGATTAAATAAAACTTAGCGGGTGGTTGCTAGCATCTGTATATAAGCTTCTCAGTTTTACAGATATGAAAGAGGGCTGGCTCTGCACAGAAAGTTGAGTTATACATAGAATTCAGTTGTCATAACTGCATAAATTTGTATGGCAAATCCAGAGAGAAATGTTGACTCATCATTAATGTAAATCATTGATCTAACCAATGAATGACTTAAAGATATAAATTTTTAAAAACATAATACAGCTTCATACATGAAATCTTCAAGGAATATATAGTTCTATTTTTGTTCACATGTATGCTGTAAAATTCACGAGTAGATTTTAAAGTGATGATGTACCATAATATGTGTGTGGATGGATAAATAGATGATAGATGGATGATAGATAGATGATTGAAATAGATACACTTGACATAAATGCCAGGCATCATTATTCTAAGTATTTTCCATGTAGTATCTCATTTGACCATTGCAACATTCCTATAGGTAAGTATAATTTACTCTCAATTTTACAGAAGAACTGAGCAACAGAGTTAAATAGCTTTCTCAAAATCATGTAATAACTGCACTTGAACCTATACAGAATGAATAATGTGTGTGTGTGTAATTACTATTAATGATTTGACCTTTTATAAAAATGGGAAGTGAGATAATTCCAAGAAATAGTAAGGAGTGCTTTAATAAGATGAACATTTTTTTCTGTGTGTTCCACGCAATATGGCACACAGGACTTTTTATTATTTGTGGACAAAAATATTCTGCCAATTTTATAATACTCTTGTGCAAACATGCTTTTGGATGAGTCAATTTTCCATTTTTAATGATGTGTTCACATTTATCTCTGATCTGAACTGATAAGACTGATTACTCACCACTTCTCCTTGGATTAAATAAATGTGTTGTCAGTTGTTTCGCTCCTGTTATACAGAAAGCTTGCTTGGCTTTTTGTGATCCAAGTCTGTAAGTCCTTCTAGTTATCTTCTTTGATTTGGATCAATCACCACAGTTGCCATGATCACCCCAGAGCAGCATGATGGCAGGCATGATAACTGGAAACACAGGATAAGTAAGTTCCTTTGGGTGAGGGAGAATGAAGGGGGAAAAAACAAACCAAATACAGAACAGCCTAATAATGCTGACCTCTTAAGGAGGAAAACTACTAAAGTTTATGAGGCAGAGAAAGCACTTCTGTAAAACAATGCAAAATTTAGTAGAAGGTATGGAATTTTGTCTCTGTTAGAGTGTAAGCTTGTATGTATGAAGATATTCGGGGTGAATTTTATGGTGTGTGCATTATATGCCAATAAAAAGGTTTTTTAAATGTAATTTTACAGCAAAGAGAAGTTATTTACCACAGTTTTACCCAATCCTGTAACCAAGATTGCTTTCTCTGTCTCAACCAGCACAGACCAAGGATGGATAGAAATAGCTAATATCCTGCTGAAGTGAATGAAGATGTTTTTAAATGTATGTGCTTGGGTCAAGTTGACTTTCAGAATCATTAGGTGTCCGGTTCTTTTGTTGTTTCCCCAGCATCATCTTGATATTATAGGAAATATACATAGAGAAAATCTGGAAGTGGCTTGAAGATAAAGAAGCTGAAAGGGGCTTTTGAAGAAGTGTAAAGATTGACTGAATCTAGCAGAAATTTCTATACTAGAATATTTTTAATGATAATATCTCTGTTTTACAAGACAATTTCAATTTTGAGAAATTTTAATTAGAAGAATATTTCTTTACTAAATATATGTAATGCCAGTGATTATTCACTTAGGAGTGGTTCAAGTGCTAAATTTATTTTGTTTATTTAATTTTTTATAAAATATTTTATTTTTATTTTTTTTTACCACAGTAAAATAAATTCAGACTTTCTCTCCATCATGGATTTTGAGTACTCATCACATACACTCAGGAGGCCTAGGTGGCTTTTGGGTTGTAGAACATGCAATAATTGTCCAAAGGCCAGATGGAAGAAAGCAAAAGCAAAAAGCAAAAAGTTTCCTCGAATGCATTTTGTATTTTGTCTCTTTATACTGCTGCATCTCCCAACTGCAAGCCTGGAGCCTTACCACTCACTCACCATTAATGCACACACATACACTCACATGCACATAGAGTAGCCTTGGATCTCCACAGGGGGTTCTAGCAGCGCTTCCTGTAATTTCTCAAGTCTGTGTGTCTTTCCCTCACTTTTGTATTTTCCCTAGGTTATTTTTTAAGGGTGGAAGCAGATATCTATGGACTGTTATTTTTTTGTACACTAAAGAACTTGTTCAAGGATGAATTAATAGAATGACTGATTTTTCATATCAGAATTTGTATCCTCATGCCACTGAGTAAGTCTCTTTGATATCATTGAAAAATAAAAAACTTAGGTTTTTAAAAAGTTTAGAGGTGTGGTGTATAAGGGAGTCCCAGATAGAGTTAAGTGTAAGGGGATGGATATATTACTAGCAGTAGCAGAAGAAAAAATATCGTAAGTGAAGAAAAATATGAGTCTAGAATTTGAAAAAGCATACACAATGCTGAAAAGAAAGGTTAAAAGGATTTTTCATAATTTGATGACTTATACTAAATTTCAAAACATCAAGAATAAAGAGAAAATCTTGAAAGGCCTCAAAGAGGAGGAAACCACACAAACCAAATGAACTTCAAGATAATGAAAATCCTTCTCTGAATGGTAGGTCGCTCATCAGCAACAGCAGCTGCATAAAAAGAACAGAACAAATTCTTCACATTTATAAAGGAGAAAATGCTTAAATTCAGGTTTTTAATTCAGTCTATCAGATGTTGGGGGAAATTTTTCAGATGTAAAAATTTAACGTAATTGCTACTCATAGACCCTTTCTAAATGAATTTCTCAGAAAGTGGAATCAAACAAAAATACAAAATGCAGTGAGTTTTAACTAGATGTGCTCTGGTGCGCTTGTGAAATGAGACCTGATGTCATCTCCGCCAGAACTAAAGCCCTGCAGAACTCTCTTGTTGGGAAACATTAGGTACTCAGGGGTTTGCACTGGTCTTCTGGAGGAGGGCCCACTGCACTGGGATGGAGGCAAGTATTCCAGCCAAGCCAGCGGACCTTTAAAACTCCAGGCTTTAAGCTCTGTTCATTGTAAGAATTCATAAAATTCAGCCTCTCTGATTTTGCAAGCCAGTGTCTTTGGGGAAATGTTCTTATGCAATCCCCTGTGTGCTCCTCTCTCTCTTGTCCTTGTCTACAACCACATCTCTCTCCCCTTCATGGCACCCATGATCTATTTCTCCTCTAAAACACATATCTTGGGGCGCCTGGGTGGCTCAGTGGGTTAAGCCTCGGCCTTCGGCTCAGGTCATGATCCCAGGGTCCTGGGATCGAGCCCCACATCGGGCTCTCTGCTCAGCAGGGAGCCTGCTTCCCCCTCTCTCTCTGCCTGTTGCTCTGCCTACTTGTGATCTCTGTCTGTCAAATAAATAAATAAAATCTTTAAAAAAAAATAAATAAAGTAAAACACATATCTTACCTCCTTCGATGTGGCATCCTCTCTCTTTTTTATTATGGAGTTTTGTCATGAGCATGGTATGCATGTGCATACATGAGTTGTGTCTTTCCACAATTTCGACTTTATTCAATCATAAAGCAAAGTTAATCACAATTATAAAGCAGCTTCAGGATTTCAAACTCAATGACATTTCACTGTGTGATTAAACTTGGCTCCTATACAACACACAGAGCAGAACATAGGATAAACCAGACAAAAAACCAAGATAATGAAAGGGTATAGGAAGTTAATAAACTAAACACAATGTCAGTCTATGGGTGCACAGTTGAGATGAGACTTATCTGGTTTGAGTCAACTCTTGGCACTTACTGCTTTTTATGTTCAAGCAGTGAAGAACCTCACTCTGTTGAGATCAGTCAGGTGGAGCCTTCAGCAGCTGAAGTTGCCTTTTTAAGTGGTCACATGGAGAAGTCATGTCTGATGAGTCTGACAGCGTGCTGCAAAAATCCTCTCCTTTTTAAATGGATTTAATTGGTCTTAGGCCTCTGCAGACCTGTTTCTTATCAATTCTGGACTGTCTATCGATGCTGGTCCCAGCGATATCTTGTAGATGTTGTACCTTTTTTTTTTAAAGATTTTATTTATTTATTTGACAGACAGAGATCGCAAGTAGGCAGAGAGGCAGGCAGGGAGACAGGGGGAAGCAGACTCCCTGCTGAGCAGAGAGCCCGATGCGGGGCTCGATCCCAGGACCCTGGGATCATGGCCTGAGCCGAAGGCAGAGGCTTTAACCCACTGAGCCACCCAGGTGCCCCTCATAGATCCTTTAAGTACTTGTGTCACAGCTCGTCATAGGTCCCTGCTTAACATGAGAGACTTCATTTTGCTCTCTACAAGTTTGTTCTGTCAGTCTTCAGGTGGACTTATAGGGTATTTAAGATAATTTGATAGTTCTTTAATTGTGTTCATGGGATGAGAGGAGACTTGGGTCTTCCTACTCTGCCATCTTTCTGCCTCCCCAAATCCTTTCTTCTGACATTTAAATGTGTGGATGGAAAACATTCTTTCTACATCTGCCAATAATTTGTCAAACAAGATGATCTTAATCACTGCTAAAATTATTACTTTTTTAAAGATTTTATTATTTATTTGACAGACAGAGATCACAAGTGGGCAGAGAGGCAAGCGGGGAAGGGGGGGCAAAGGGGAGGCAAGGAGGCAGGCTCCTTGCTGAGCAGAGAACCTGACACCGGGCTTGATCCCAGGACCTTAAGTTCATGAGCTGAGCCAAAAGCAGAGGCTTAAGCCACTGAGCCACCCAGGCACCCCTAAAATTATTACTGTTTTCTTTTCTTCACCTCATAACATTTCCATGAGTGCCAAATCCCCTCTCTAATTCATTCTGCTTACCACAAATTACTACTTTTATCTTGGCATTTCCTTGCTTAAATGCATTAAATTTCCCACTATTGCTTAAGAATAAAGAAAATGATTTATCTTACATGCTTCTTCTGTCAAATGACCTTATGACTTTCCTTTCTCCCCGATCTTTGATTTTGTTGATTTGTGTATCTTTCGTAGCCATTTGTCTGATCATAGCCCTTTTGTTGAACATTATACTTTCTTGACTACAATCCACCATTCACACTATTTCTACCTTTGAAATAACCTTGCCTTTCCTCCCTCCTTTCAACCAGTCTAAGTGATCTTCTCCACCGCTGATGCCCTATCTGAACAGCTACAGTGGTCATTGGTACTTTCCATCTTTGCATTTTATAAGGCCATTGTATCCTTTATTACTTTATGATATAGATGCTTTTTTTTAAACTCTTTTTTTAAAAGATTTTATTTATTTGACAGAGAAAGAGAGATCACAAGTAGGCAGAGAGGCAGGCAGAAAGAGAGGGGGAAGCAGGCTCCTCACTGAGCAGAGAGCCTGATGCAGGCCTTGATCCCAGGACCTTGAGATCATGACCTGAGCCAAAGGCAGAGGCTTAACCCACTGAGCCATCCAGGTACCCAATATAGATGCTTTTAATTTGAGTTTTAAAATTGATTACTATGAAGGAGAATAAATGAAAATATTCAGGCAGGGTTTCTCTGCAAATTTTACAGTAGATATTTATTTATTTTGCAGTTTGCAAGTTGAAAAAATGCTGGATGTTATACCTTTGTATGTGCATCATACTTCTCATAGTGGTCATTCTTGTGATAGCAGGTGAGTGGCTGAGCTCATAAACTTTCTATGGTTCTTTGTGCCCATTAGGGTCAATCCTATCTCAAAAATAATTCTAGATCTCTCAAATCTGAAGTAACAAAAAGGTCTTATAAAGACAAATTCTCAGGTTCCTACTAATTTGGCAGGTTTTACCATACACTTTGTCTCTCTCAAAAATACTCTTTTTTTAAAAGATTTTATTTATTTGTTTGACAGAGGGAGAGAAAGAACACAAGTAGAGGGAGTGGCAGAGAGAGAGGGTGAGGACCCCAGGATCATGACCTGAGCTGAAGGCAGAGGCTAAGCCACCCAGGCACCCCTCTCAAAAATGCTCTTGGGTCTTCTCTTGATACCAGCCATTCTGACTGGGATGAGGTGATATTTCATTATGGTTTTGACTTGAGTTTCCCTAATGATTAGGGAAAAAAGAGCATTCTTTTATTGTCTGTTAGCCATCTGCATGTCTTCTTTGGAAAAATATCTATTCAGGTCCTCTCTTCATTTTTTAATTGGATTATTTGGGGTTTAGTGTTATGAGTTATTTGTATATTTTGGATATTAACTCCTTATTGGATATATCATTTGTAAATGAATACATAAAGAAGACGTGGTATATAAACATAATGGAATATTATTCAGACATTAGAAGAATGAAATCTTGCCATTGTGACAACATGGATAGAGCTAGAGGGTATTGTGTGAGGTGAAGTAAGACAAAGAAATATGCCATATTACTTCAATTATATGTAGAATCTAACAAGTAAAATAAAATAAACAAACAAAAAACAGACTCAGACTCAAAAATACAGAGAACAAACTGGTGGTTGCAAGAGGGAGGGAATGAGCAAAATAGGTGAAAGGCATTAAGAGGTACAAATTTCTAGTTATAAAATAGATAAGTTACAGAGATTAAAAATACAGCATCAGGAATATAGTCAAGAATATAATAACTTTGTAAGGTGACAGATGGTAACTATATTTATCACGGTGAGCATTTTGTAGTATATAAAATTGACAAATCACTATGTTGTATACCTGAAATTAATATATTTAGCTTCAATTTAAAAAGTAAATTAAAAACTAGCACTGGTGGCTTAGTCAGTAGAGCAAGCAACTTGATCTCTGAGTCATGAGTTTGAACCCCACATTGGGTGTAGAGATCACTTAACAAAAAACAAAAACTAAATATCCTAAATCTCACATTACAGTTATGTTCCCAAATTTATAGAAGTTCTTAATCTTTAAGTAAAGTAATAATAAATTCTGAAGTGACCACCAGATAACAACAGCAATAGTTATGTTTTTTAATGGAGCATACTTTGCACCAGTTGAAGAACCAATGCTAATTATACTATATTTATTATTTATATTTAATTCTCACAAGAACAAGAAACAACTATAATTATGAAATCCATTTACAGGCAAAGAAACAGAAGCCTGAGTGAGTAAGTTGCCTCTCACAAATAACAAATTCCAGAGCCAGAATCGAGACTCTTCTTGTCTGGCTGGCTCTAATTGCTCGTATTTTAACCACCATGCAATACAGCCCATATAGCTGCAGTATCTCTTTGCTCTTATTTCTCTTGGATTAAGATTAAGTTACATTACTAATAGTTGTTCTATGATATATTTATTATGTTAAAAGAAAAAAAATGAAATAAAGACATAAGTGAATTGTGGCGATTTTGTCTATTGGAGTAGATATGTAAAAATGAAGATACTAATTTTCTTCTGGACATTAATGGCTCATTTTGTGAAAATAATTCAAAGGTAGGTTTTAAAATTCCTGATCCATGTAATAGTCTCAGAATTTGATTTTCCATATGCATGTTTTACTTAATATAACACTTAAGTTGGCACTTACATTAAAGTAACATTTAGCACTCTTGATTCTTATTTTCTTTGTCATTCACAGAGTACCAGTACTGTTCTTGCATATAGCTTTTTCTGTCATCATAGCGTCCTTGGAGCTTAATGTTATTGATATTTAAATATCTAGCAGTTAAATAATTATATCATTATTATTATTATTATTATTATTATTATTTTAGTGACCTCTATACTCCACGTGGGGTGGGAACTCATGACTCAGAGATCAAGAGTCCCAAGCACCTTTGAACTGAGCCAGCAGGTGCCCCAGAATTTAAATATTTATAAAGAAGTGTTTCTATAAGAAACCTTTATATTCATTCATTAATTAATTTAAAAAATTGAAACACAATATATTTCATTACCTAGGTATGGTAGCCTGGATCTGCTTCCAAATATTTATATATATTTAAGTATATATAAATATATATATATATATTTATATTTAAATAAATTAAATAAATAAATAAATAAATAAGTAAAATGTTATGTATTATACATCATGGCAAATGAGGAGAGAAGGCTTTGGAGTTGAACTGACAGTTGAACATTTACTTGGTTCTTTGCTAGTTACATTAACTTATTCAAACAGTTGGAGGGTAAGGACTTTATCTTATTCTGATTACTCAACACCTAACTAAAACCTTGAAAAAGAAAATTTTCAAAACACTCTATGCAGAAATCAGTTCCTCATGATTCCAGCTTCTTTGGCACTGAATATTGGTGAAGTAGAACAAATGTTTTACTAACTTATATTCCAATGATGTGTTGTCATGTACAGAGAGTTTTACTTCCCTAGCTTGGATGTCCTTTCTTGCCTTAAAGCATTTCATTTCTCAAGGTAAAGGTGAGCTTTCTCACCCTAGTCTGTGAAGTCTAATTTGTCTTTATGTTTCTAGGACTTTTTGTCAGTTGTTAAATTTTATACTTTTTTTGGGGGGGTGGGGAGGATGGCAATATAGACTATGAGAGGCCAGTAGTTCCATTCTTCAAAGAAGAAGCCAGGGAAATTGGATAAACTATGGACTGCCCGACCATTAAGTGGTTTTCCTTACAGACAGCTGAACTGAATTTGTCCATCATCCCATGAGTGAAGTTAATTTTACAGACTGCAAACCATAGGAATAAAAGTAAACCTGATTCATCAGAATGAAAGAAATACTCTTTAACTTACTTTTTATCTGATAATTTCTTTCTTTTTTCAATATTTCCAGTATTTTTCAAATGTCCCAAAACTGTGGAATGTTCAGGTGAATGGATTGGAGTAAGAAAGAAGTGTTTCTATTTTTCCAGTGATACCAAAAATTGGATAGCCAGTGAACAATTTTGCCTTTCACAGGGATCAGAACTTGCTCATATTGATACACAAGAGAATACGGTAAGAAAAGGGGAAAGTTCTTAACCATTTCAGAGCTTAAGTTTGTACAAAGAGAATAAAAATGATAAACGTGAATATGAAAATATATGTCAGACAGTGTTCTAAGTGTAACTATAAAACTCATGTAAACCAACCAGTGCCTATGAAGTACATATGAAAATACCCGTATTTTATAGCTGAAGACAGTTAGGCACAGAGATATTATGTAGCATAGCCATTATCACACAGCCAGAACTTGTTGAACTGGGATTTGAACTTAGTCAAATTAGCTGGTGATGTTATGTCCTTAAAAATAATGCATGCTGTTTATATAGCTAAATGTCTTTATTTAATGTTCTTAAATTATTAAATGGATAGTTTTTAATACCTTTAAATTTTTATTCTGCCAAGAATGGCCTGGAAAAATTAAAACCAAAAAATAGATATGGCTCTTAGAATTTAGGCTGAGGCTCTGAGGGAAATAGCAGTTTGAAGAACATGAGACCATGGACAGAAGTGAAAAAACATGAAGAAGAGGGACTTGGGTTGCAGGAACGCTGGATGAGGGAATATGTTTGTTTATAAAGAGAGCTGACTAAACTCTATATAGCAAGGAACCAAGAGAAGAGAAAGGAAATCTATCATTCAATATATTTTTATTGCAATAAATCATAATCATCCAGAAGTTAGTTTGGTTTCTGATTATATGAGAAAACCTACAGCAGCAATAACATTCTTATTTTGGTATCTCCTCAAAGGACAGTTAGTTGATCCTTGAACAATATAGGCTTGAACTGTACAGGTCCACTTACATGCAGATTATTTTCAACAAACAGTACAGCACTGTAAGTGTATTTTTTCTTCCTTGTGATTTTCTGAACAACATTTCGTTTTCTCTAGTTTACTACTTTATTGTAAGAAAGAAATATATATATATATAATATATATAGCATACAAAATGTGGGTTGTTTATCTTAGCAATAATGCTTTGTGTCAATAGTAAGCTATTAGTAGTTGAATTTGGGGGGAATCAAGAGTTATGCTTAGGTTTTCAACTGCATGGCAGCATTGTTCAAGGATCAAATGTAGTTTATGACTGAATTTTCCTATTTTTAGCAGTAGTTATACTTTCTATTAAACACTTTCCCCCTGAAATACCTCCTCTGTGACTTTTGAGAGAGGACCTGTGCATAAAACAAAATGGAAACATTAGTTCTCTGTCACTCTTACAAACGTTCTGTATCAGTTCCTAGAGAAAATGCTCAGCTCCTGATTTTGTCGTCCAAACACACACAAACATCTTATCAGTTTATAGTCTCTGTCATTCACTCTGTGACTAAAACATACTGATGGCCCAGTTTGGAGGAAATTAATTCAAATACGTTTTCCTCATCAGTTTCTCATTTGAGAGATAGAAATTACCCCTAAAGATAATTTGAGACAGTGTAGTTCAGAAAACTGCAATGACTTGATGAAAGTCACTCTATTGTTTACAGATTTTTAAGAAGTGAAAGAGCAAAGTGAAAATCTTTCTGATAAACTAACCTAATATCCCTACCTGTTGCTAAAGAGGCATTACGGCATGCAGATTAGGATGTAAATCATAAAGATGAGAAGGTTGGGATGAGAAGTGTGTTCAGCAATGTGATCTAAAAGATTATGTAATGGATAATACCCTGATTTTTGTGAAAGGAGTTTTTGAGGAGACATGCAGGAACTTTTATGCACTGGATTGGATTGAACAGAAAACAAGGAGAATCTTGGAAATAGACAAATGGTACCATATTCAATCCTTGGTGAGTTTCAATTTTAGTAGGAAAGGTTTTATTCTGGTATGCAAACATTTTAAATAATTTTAAGTGAATTATTATAAAGAAATCTTTCTATTTTCTATGTGCAATTACCTTTCTTAGTCTTTACCCTGAGACATGTGCCCTTTCACATCGAAACATACCTTAGAGCAACCTATCTTCTTTCTACTTTAAGTGATACAGTGAAATTTTTCTTCTGTTTTATTTTTGTTTATTTCATTTTATTTTTATTGCCAAAGTCTTGCAAATAAACACTCCTTTCGCTAATTCAAATTCAAATTTTATTTCAAATTTCAAGCCAAACCACATGTATTACTTGCATTTTCTTTTTTTAAAGAAAGTGCAAGTATCTTATTTATTCATTTATTTGACAGAGAAAGAGTACAAGCAAGGGGAGCAGCAGAGGGAGAGGGAGAAGCAGACTCCCCATGGAGCAGAGAGCCAAATGTAGGGCTTGATCCCAGGACCCTGGGATCATGACCTGAGCTGAAGGCAGATGTTTAAGCAACTGAGCTACCCAGTTGCCCCAACTTGCACCTTTTTTAAATGAGTTTATTTATACAGGATCTCTTTTTTTTTATTGTGTTATGCTAGTCACCATACATTATATCATTAGTTTTTGATGTAGTGTTCCATGATTCATTGTTTGTCTATAACACCCAGTGCTCCATGCAATCCGTGCCACAAGATCTCTTTGTTTTAAAGAGTAAGTGACCACATTGTTGTCTTTAACTTTCCGTAAGTCCATTGTAAACCATATTATTTATTTATTTAACTGTTACTGAGTAATGTTGTTTTCTCACTTGCATACTATTATAACTGAAAATAAAGGCTGTGTGACTTTTCTTTTCTATCCACATACTCCTGCCTTAATATTTCATCAACTGCTAGATAAACAGTGGGAACCAATTAAAAAATGTTAAAATATGTGAGATAAGACAAATTACACTTACTATGAAAGAAGGAAAAACTCCATAAACAGAGCAAATCAATAAAATTAATATAGCAATTAGTCTCTTCGGTTTCTATCTCAGTACATTTTTCAAATGCATCAAATGAATATAAATCTTATTTCTTACTTTCAAAAAGGAACATTGGCTGAAAATAACTGCTTTAAAGAAACTCCAGAGATCTTTCAATTTAGCAACCACAGTCTCTCTCCTGATAGATGGATGAAAATAGATATAGATAGATAGATAAATATAGATAGACATTGACTTATAGCTATATTCATGGTTTATCCATGTCCATCTATACCTATAGCTGCCTTTCTATTTATTGTTCTAAATAATGTTACACTTTATACTAAGAATTATAATTAAATACCTACATTTAGTCTTCTATTTCTTTGATGTACCAGATTTTTTTGTGTGTGTAGCATATGGTGATGAGTGAGCATGGAGCTCAATGTTTTGTGTAAAGTGTTTCAGAGTACTTGAATCTTAATTTTATTCTTGAGTACAGCTGTAAGTGGTTCTCAAACTAATTTTAATGGTTCTTTTCAGGTTTGAAATTAGTGGGAATGGATCCTTTGCTTTTCTGAATGCTGACGGAGTCCATAGTTCTAGGGGATTTATTGATATTAAATGGATTTGCAGCAAATTTTAATTTTAATTGAGAAAAAAAACTGGAAAATGACTCTCACACTTCAGAGATAAAGAAAAGGCCTAGGTAGGCAATAGTTCTCACTAGTTATGTTGCTGAATACTGAATTTTGCAGATTTTAAACAAAGGAATTAAAAACTGTTGAATGAAAGAACCTCATCAAATCAAGACACACAACTGCCCATTATAAGCACAAATCAGGAAACTTCTACTAAAGAGAAGCAAATAAAGTAATGACAAATAATTAGATGACATGCAACTGCAATAATGATTTTAAGCAAATTTAAAGAGATCTATGTTGATAGGCCAGCCAACATTTACTTAGCTTAAGAGTTAGAGAAATATATGTGTTCCAAATGTGTAAATATTACAAAATACTAACAATAATAACTTTGGCGGAAAGAAATGTTATAAGAGAATAACCTATGAAAAGACATTCACTTCAATGACATAAAAACAAGGAAAAACCCACCCATAAGGATCCTAACTCTATCAATAAAAATCACTGATAAATGATCAGAATTATATATTAAATTATAAAGCTCACTCAAAGCAATCTACAGATTCAATCCTCATCAAAATACCAATGGTATATTTCACAGAATTAGAACCAAGAATCTTAAAATTTGTATGGGATCACAAAAGACTCCAAAGCAGTCTTGAGGAAGAAGAACAAAGCTGGAGGCATCCCACTCCCTGATTTCAAACTATGCTACCAAGCTGTAGTAATCATAATAGTATGGTACTGGCACAAAAACAGATTCATGAATCAATGGAATAGAATAGAGACCCCAGAAATAAAACCCATGCTTATATGTCAATTAACTTCTGACAAAGGAGGTACAAATATAAAATGGGGAAAAGACAGTCATTTCAATAAATAGTGTTGGAAAAACTGGACACTACATGCCAAGGAATGAAACTGACCACTATCTTACACCATAGACAAAAATAAATTCAAATTGAATGAAAGGCTTTACTATGAGACCTGAACCATAAAACTCTCAGAAGAAAACAGAGATGGTAAGCCATTTGACATCAGAATTTTTTTTTTTTTTTGGACCAGTGTCCTCAGACAAAGCAACAAAAACGAAATTAAACAAATGAGATTACTCAAACTGGAGATCTTTTGCACAGTGAAGAAAAACATCAACAAAATGAAAAGATATCTTGAAATTTAAAAAAAATTCTATACTTTTATTGCCATTCCGATCAAAATTCCACCAGTATTTTTCAAAGAGCTGGAGCAAATAATCCTAAAATTCGTATGGAATCAGAAGACATCCCAAATTGCTAAGGAAATGTTGAAAAAGAAAAACAAAACTGGGGGCATCACATTACCTGATTTCAAGCTTTACTACAAAGCTGTGATCACCAAGACATAAAAACAGACACATACACCAGTGGAACAGAGTAGAGAGCCCAGATATGGACCCTCAACTCTATGGTCAAATAATAATTAATTTCATGTATTTAAAGCACATTTGTATTTCAAAATAAATGTAACAGTTTGTGTCCACTATATAAGTAAGGTCATTACTTAACTCCTCCAAGTTGACCATAGTAAATTATAAACCATCAGGAATTTATACCCTAATAACTGTGAATCAAAGAAAAAAATAAAATAAAAATATGACATAACTATGATATACACCTGAAATTAATGGGGTATGTGTCAGTTGTACTTCAATTTAAAATATTACAAAGCTTAGACAGTTGAATATAAACTATAATAATAATATCAAAGGTGACCAAACAATAGACTATTGGGAAAAAAATATATATTTCCCAAGTAAGGACAAGAAAATAGAATAGGCTTTTGACATATATCTGGGTGAGGTTATAAAATTCAAATTCTGCAGGGCATTCAAAAAATACCAAAATCACCTATATTACATTAGTTGAGTTTAAATTCTTGCCTAGGTAACTATGAATTATTATTAGTAACTAGGTAACTATAAATTACTCATCTATGAGTAATTCTACAATCTATGAATGTAGGAAAGAATGTGAGTATAGGTGGATGAGAAAAAGTAGGGTGGAGAAGCTGGGAGGAAAAGAGAGTATCTGCATTACAAACACATGGGAACATGTCCTTCTTGCATATTTTTAACTGAGGCTTACTTCCTTAATTAGATACAGTTGAAACTTTCTGATAAATGAAAAGAGATTCTTGCAAGCTGACTAGTTGATGTTCCCCCTGGTATTATATGGGAACAAAAATAACTTAGCAAATGTTGGCATGTAATCACGTATGGGCCATTATATCTGTGCATGATGTTATCAAGAAAACATGAAAATAATGTATTTTAGGATGCCACTGTATATTACAGTTGTATGTATTAAATTCTGGTTAAGTTCAAGTTTTATTTGATTCATAATACAGGTTTTATTTTTAGTGTTGGTTCATGGCTACAAACTAATTTTGTAAATTGTTTAGTAATTTAGAGTAATATGCTCCCTTTTTTTTTTCTTTGAATACATGAAAGGAAATTAAGAAACTTCACATTGTATAGAATTTCAGTTATAAACTAAGGGGTGAAATCATTCTTAATATAATTTTAAATATAAATGATATATAAATTTGATTAAAGGGAAATGAATTGTGGAATCACATTAAAAAGAAGATTCTATATTACCTCAAATAGACATCTCATGCTGACAACATCTGAGTACTTAATACCAGCTGAAAGTTTGATTTCTTTCTGATAAAAATTGAAGACAGTTACTTTGGAGGAAAAGCCCACCATGAAGAAAAAAAAAATGTTGTATCTATGTGTGTAGTCTCTTACTTCACTAGATGCTCAGGAGTTAGAACCCAAGAAATAGGACACAGAAAATAAGGTAATTTAGAAGAAGATTAAATTTAATTATTTTTTAGATATTGAAAATTATTTTTTATATATTGAAATAATGGGAAAATGTGGGGGGGGGTGTTTAAAAATCAGTTATATTTCCTCATTTTGAAAGATTATTTCTATATGGAATATTTGAAAACATTATATTTGTATTGTTAAAAAAGAGCCAATGGACCCAGAAGAGTGAGCCCATATCACCAAACCAAAATTTAATACCTAATCTAATTGCAGTTTTAAACTCCTCAGGAATATAATTTTAACTGGTTGAGAATTTTCTGGTCAACACTAGTGAGGTAATCCACCTGATAGCTCCAAATAATCTTTTGTTGCTGCTTTGTCTTGTTTGCTTTGTTGTTTTTTATGACTTCCTTGTTTTAGCCTGTCTGCCTTTAAAAACCTTTTTTTTTCTGTAGCTCACTGAAGCTCCTTTTTACTTGCTAGATGGGGGTGCTGCCCAGTTCATCAATCATTGAATAAAGCCAACTAGATCTTCAAATTTACTTGGTCGATTTTTGTTTTTTAATAATATAGAAAAGAAATAAATTTGCATTCCACTTAAAGAAAAATAAAGGCAATATTTCATGGTTAAAATATTTTGTGTTAAAATATTAACAACCACATAAATTTAATCCAAATCTTTATTTAAATGCACAGATTTGTTTTCATTGTTCAGACAGCGTCTCTTTGGCAAATGCCATTAAATTTGGAGTTACAGTCCTCAGAATATACCTGCTTTCCTGTTATGACAGCACAGCTCTCGTGATCCGTTGGTTCAATCATGAGAAAACTAGGAGATAAAGTATAGACATTAGAGCATTTATTTTAAAATAATGAATATGTTTCTTAAAGTTTCCAGCCAAACTTGTGCAGGTAATTCTTCAGCAAACAAAATGTTGCAAAGGTTTCAGAATAGACTCTTCTTTTGTTGTAAATGACTGCATTTGGGCACACTTGATTTGCTTGCCCTCCATACCCTCCCCCCATAATGTGTCTCTTATCTGAGGAACATTGCCATAGAAGCTCCAGCCTAAAGACTAGAAGCATCCCTGTCTCTTCCTTCCCTCTCAACCCTTGAGTTGCGTTTATCAGCAAGTTCTAGTATTCTACCTCTGGACTGGTCCTTATATCCATTCACTCCTGGCCCAGGCTGCTACTGCCTCTCCCTTATCTTTGGTCACAGACTTCTGACCTAACTTCAGTATCAGTTTTTATTTTTCCCATCTATTCATTCTTCACACAGCAAAATAATTTTCTATAAAAGGTGATTAGATATTAAATTTAAAAGTTTCTCTCTGTTTAAATTAATTTTTTTAGAGAGGGAGAGGGAGGACAGCAGAGAGAGAGGGACAATCTTAAGCAGACTCCATGACCAGCGCAGAGCCTGATGGAGGGCGGGGACACATCCATCTCATGACCCTGAGATTATGACCTAAACTGAAACCTAAACCACCTAAACCAATCTCCTAAACCTATCTCCTAACAATCTCCTAAACCTAAACCAATCTCCTAAACCACCCAGGCACCTCTAAAATACAGGTTTTTGGTAAATACTGTATAGTAATAGATATACTAATGAGAGTTGCAAAGCAATAACCCAGGGAGACAATTTTTTTTAAGTTAAAGTAAAAAACTATATAGATGACTTAAATTCTTCATTAACTTCAATAGTATGATGAGGAAAATATGTGAAGAGAATATTTTTGGAGAGAGCTATCTCTTTAATTATTCTTTCTAGTTGCTGACTACTATTTTTTTTTATATTTTATTTATTTATTTGACAGAGCGAGAGAGCACAGCAAGGGGAGCAGTAGAAGGAGAGGGAGAAGCAGGATCCCCACCAAGCAGGCAGGGAGCCCAATGCATGGCTTGATCCCATGACCCTGGGATCATGACCTGAGCTGAAAGCTGACTACTATTTAAATATAAAAACCAAACACTATTACAACCAGCTGCATTATCTTTTTTCCTAAAATAATCAAACGAAAGCTTTTTCAAAGAGATATGCTGCCCTAACAATATGTTGGATTTCCAAAGGTTGGGAGGAGCCTAGGTGTTCCTTACTAATTTTTGCATAAGATTGCTACCAAATAGGGCCAAAGAATGAATACCACTTCACACTTTAGTTTTATGTGCATGAAAGATGATAAAATATGGAGGAGAATGGAAGTATCTAGAAGTAGATAAATATCGAGACTGAAATGGACTACCACTCCACGGCCTTTGCTTTAAACCTGCCACAGGTCAGGTGCTCCAGTGATGTATAAAGAAAACATGGACACAGAGGAGAACCTGTAAATGTATGTGACCCCTAAGAATCTTAAAACACTCTTACATGAATTACCTTATGTTGTTCACACAAGAATGTTGTGAGGGAAGCTTCATTATTCTTATCACACAGATAAAGAAATTGATATCAAAAGTTTAGGAGAATATTCTCCTTTTTTAAAATATTTATAAATTTCAGAGAAAGAGAGAGGTGGGAGGGGTAGAGGGAGTGGGTGAGGGAGAGAATCCCAAGCAGACTTCCCACTGAGCACCAAGCCCAACACGGGCTCAATCTCACAACTTCAAGATCATGACCTGAGGTGAATCAAGAGTTGGCTGCTTAACTGACTGAGTGACCCAGGGCCCCAAGTTTAGGAGAATATTCTAAGGGCAAAATTTCAAACTCATGCTTTCTGAGTTTACCTCAAGAGATGTTTTTACACATTCCAGATGCTTTTATTTATAGGGGAATTTTATCTTTGCATTTCCTATATAGAATATAGTTGCTGAAAATTATTTTAAATGAGATCTGAGTGGACTTAAAAATTATAAAGATGTTACCATTTCTTGTCCATTAAAATTTCCAGATATGATTTCTAGCCCTCCTTCTCATCATTAGTGAATAAGGAAGGAAAAAAAAGGAAGAGAAAATTCTGAAAAAGAGAAATAGGGAAGGAAAAGGAGGGGCAGATAGAAAGAAAAGAAAGGAGGAAGAAAGATAAAAAGACTAGAAAGCATGGAAGCTTATTAAAAATACATTTCTATCAATAAAACAACGTCACAGCTGCCATTCTTCCCCCTCAAATAACTACTTACTCATTTTGTTCCACAAAAAGGTATTTGTTTATCCACATCCATTGTTTTCCTGGGGATGTACTATGTAGTCCAATCCAACCAGGATTTCCAGGTTTTAAAGTCTTCTGTATGAACTTCTATCAAGGAAATGGTATATTCATTTATTAATTTATTTTAAAAAATTCCATGCCCTCTATAGAATAAGACAGTATGCCAGGCATTGATGGAATGGTAAATAACCATTTCTTTCATAACGAATAGGTTTAAAAAAAAATGGTAATGACATTACGATTAATGAATGTTCAAAAACAATGCTTAAGCCACCCACACTTCTTAGAATTGCACCTATCAATTCTTCCTTGGTACTTAGATCCTGTATTTGAGTCCTCACCAGCTCATTCAGAGTTTGGATCACTGGTCAATGTGCCTGTAGATTTTCACAATTGTGTTGACTCTCATTCCAAGTTTTAGAAGAAATTGAAAACCTGTAGCATTTTGGGCACAAATAATTATTTCCTGAAGGAAAATGTAGGAAAAAAAAATTAGACTTTACCATCAATTAAGTGTGAATAATACCATATGTGATGAGAAGGCTGCTCCATTGGCAGAACAAGAGTGAGATTAATTCATTAATCTGTATATTTCTGGTATGGAGGTAGGATTTGGGGTGAGGGCTTGGGGAGAAAAAAAAACATGTGAATTCTGAGTCCCATAATTAAAGGAAACAGATATTTAATATCTTTAATTATTTATAATTAACACAAGTAAGAACCTACTGCTTGAATCTCTCTACTGTCTGGCCTAATTCCTTTTCTTGGGGTTGTCCTTACAACCTCTTTTTCATTTCTGTGAGATTACTTACCATTAGTATTACTGACATCATTGCATTGGATACTTTGATCCTCCTATGCTTTTCATTCATATGGTCTCCTTAGACTTGAATAGCCTTCCCTTCCTTCTTCTTCTTCATCTAAATTAAACTTAAATTTTGCTGCTCAATTGTACTTCCATCTCAAAAACAAAGTCTTTAACTGTTCATAATTTCTGTTGCCTCTAGACTCATAACATATCAGTGTCATTTAGCAACAAGTGTATTGCCCATGTCCTGGTCATATGTGAACATCTCCTCGTCTTTTACCTGACTGGGAGGTTGTTAGGAGACTGTCATATTCATCTTGGAGTTTCCAATCATATAGCACGTTGATTATTGTTTTTAATTGTTGAATGATTGAATTAAATATCAATAAGTTAAAGCATGCCATATTTTTATTGCTAATATTTTAGTCTGTTATTTATGAGCCTAAATATTTGTAAAAATCTATTCTAGGAAATTGAATTAATATGTCCAGGTAAGATGGGAAATAAAAATAACATCAGTACATATGACCTGAAGAAGACTATCAAGGAATAACTTTCAATATATAAAACTTCATATATATTCTTAACTCATTAATACATTCTGTGCTGGGCAAACATTGCCAATCCTGAATAATGGTAATTTTGCAAAATACTTGTAGACTCAGGATAAGCCTATTCTCAGTTCTACCAGTACATAGTTGTGTCTTAAAAAGTATAAGATGACCTCAAATAATACCTCCCAATTTATGATTTGAAAGGAGCTATGTATTATTTTTGAGAAGGAGTCACTCGGACTCCTTATGTGGCTATTGATAGAGTGGTCAATGAAGTATAGTTGTAAAGTTGCAAAACACACTAAAAATTCCCTAAATGATTAGTGTAATATATTAAAATACAAAAAAAAAGATGCAAAATGTGGATACTAATTGTCCAAAAGAGTCACTACTATGAACTCAGGTTCAAGTGCCATTTTTAAAATAAGAAGAAATATCCTGGGGGATGAGAATGGAATAAAACATTTATCAAGGGGGATGCCTGGATGGCTCAGTGAGTTGAGGATTTGCCTTTGGCTCAGGTCATGATCCCAGGGTCCTAGAATCAAGTCCCGTATTGGGCTCCTTGCCAAGCAAAGAGCCTGGCTCTCCCTCTGCCTGCTGCTCCCCCCGCTTGTGTTCTCTTTCCCTCTCCCTCTCTCTGTGACAAATAAATAAATAAAATCTTAAAAAAAAAAAAAAACACACATATATTAAGCAACACTTTGTACTCATTCCTGTCTCAGATACTTTATATAATAACAACAACAAACACACACCCGCTACAGTGGGTGAGTTTCTAAGCACCTAACATATTTAGTTTTTAAAACTACTTTATAAGATAGAAGAACATGTTAAATGACACCATGGACATCTGAGCAGAAAAATCCAGAAAGTGTGTGAAATCCCCTTTCTTTTGGTGTGAGTCAGACCTGCGAATATGATGGACTATCACTCCCATGATTAAGTTATACATGATGGCAAGATAAGATTTTCAAGACTAGGGAAGGGTGTGAAGTCAGTCAATTTTGAATAAATGAAGAGATTCCCCTGGTGGGCCTGATTTAATCAGATACAAGATGTTAAGAATCGGCCTAGGCCTTTTCTAAAGAGAAAGAAAATTCCCATTTCCTTTTAAGAATTGGGCTTTCGTGTCTTGAGAGGATGTACAAGAGTGACACATGGCAAGGAAATGCAGGGGTCCTATGTAAAACTAGAGTCGCCCTGGATGACAGGCAGCAAGAATCAATGACTTCAGTCCTACAACTATAAGTAACTGAATTGTACCAACCGCCACATGAGCTTGCAAGAGGAATGTCAGCTTCAGAAACATGTGTGATCTTGTCAACACCTAAATTATAGCCTATGATACTGTGAATAGAAGACCGAGTTCAGCTGTGCCCAAACTCCCAACCCATGGAAAACGTGAGGTAATAAATAATTATTATCTTAAACTGCTAAGTGTGTGGTAATTTGTTACACATCCAGAGAAAACCAGTACAGGATATATAATGGTGTTGTGTTTGTGTTAAGCAAAAGGAGCCCTTAACTGTCAGAATTACATGCGGATATATTTAGATGTTAAACGCATGATATCTGTGCATTGCTAATGTAATCTGGTTTGGGAGAGCAATGTGGGGGAGATATAGTTAATACTGATTATATACTGACAAATTCTGATGAGATTTGAAAGGTACGTGGAGATTTATTACATAAGTCTCTACTTTTATTTTATTATCTAATGTGCATTTCAGCCTGGCAAGCTGGAGACCCAGGGAAGAGGTGATATTGCAGTTCGTGTATAAGAGCAGTCTTATATACAGTATAAGGCCCAATTCCCTCTTTCTTTGGGAACCTTAGTATATTTTTCTCTAAAGGCCTTCAGTTGATCAGGCAAGGACCAGCCACAGTATGGAAGGTAGTCTGCTCAACTCAGAATCCACTGATGTAAATGTCATCTAAAACCTAATTTTACAGCAAAATCTAGACCAGTATTTGTTCAAATATCTGAGTACTGGGTGTGGCCTAGCTGAGTTGACATTAAAATTAACCACCACCATTGATTTTTTTTTTAAAGATTTTATTTATTTTGACAGAAATTACAGGCGGGCAGAGAGGCAGGCAGAGAGAGAGGAAAGGAAGCAGGCTCCCTGCTGAGCAGAGAGCCCCATTCGGGGCTCTATCCTCAGATCATGACCTGAGCTGAAGGCAGAAGCTTTAACCCACTGAGCCACCCAGGTGCCCCCACCACCATTGATTTAATCTACATTAAATAGTCTGTAGTTGGGGTATTATATCCCTACTTGAAAGTTTAGAAAAGTCATGTTTAATGACTTGGAATCTCTTCATTCAAACATAGGGCAGCATGTTACAGACAAAAACAAACCTTACCTGCTAGATGGCTGATATTTACTTTCTGGGAGAAATCCATTTTTTTTGTCTGTACCTAGTGTAAAGAAAAAATATAATGAGAAACATTTGAAAATGAAAACCAATCTAGGTATGCGAGGATAAAAATGCTAGCACAAAACAAAGTCAAATAAAAATTTGAAGTCTCTCTCTTATACTCAGCTTCTACTCTTCTCTTTCCCCAGAATTAGCCACTTTTATCATATCTACTTTTACTCTTTTAGTCACTGGTCACAATCTAACTATTGTGTGCATTCTTAAACTTCATGTGTATAACTTTTTTGTATACTATTTTCTTTTTCCAGCTGAACTTTAAATTACTGTTATTTCTTCTTGGTCGAGACCTTCCACCCCAAACTCCTTTTTACCATATCAAGTTCCTTTAGCATCTTACAGCATTACTTATAGATGGTTTTTCATATAGACTGAAATCATTGCTTTCCAGGAGCGTAGAAGAGCTGATAACCTGAAATGTCTTTTCATTACATCTTGTGCTAGCTTCATTCTATCTAAAATCAGCACACACACTCACATACAAGCCTGTGTGGAAAACTTTTATTGCTTGGAAATTTTATATTACTTGATTACTCTTGTCTTAAACTTAAGTTCAGATTTGCTTATAAATTTAAAGGCATTACTACAGTGGTGTTCTTATATGTTCATTTAAAAATCTGATGCCAAAAAAAAAAAAATATCTGATGCCAATTTGTTTCTCTTTGGGGAGAAAACTAATTCTTTTTTTTTTTAAGATTTTTTTTTAATTTATTTGCCATAGAGAGAGAGAGAGAGAGAGAGAGCGAGTACACACAAGCATGCAGAGAGGCAGGCAGAGGCAGCGAGAGAAGCAGGCTCCCTGCCGAGCAAGGAGCCCGATGTGGGACTTGATCCCAGGACTCTGGGATCATGACCTGAGCCAAAGGCAGCGGCTTAACCAACTGAGCCACCCAGGTGTCCCGAGAAAACTAATTCTTTATGTAAACTTTTAAGATCATATCTTTACCCTTGGTGTCCTGAAATATGATAAGGATTTCTCTCTCAACCTCATTATATATCTATCATCTATCTATCATCTACCTATTTATAGCTATCCATCTATCTGTCTTCTATCTATATCTATTTACATATCCTATTCTGAATTTGGTAGGCTCTTATAAGCTGGAAACTCATGGTTTGGGATTTGTTTTATCCTCCTTGAAAATTATTATTATTATTATTATTATTATTTCAGATCTACTTTTTCCCCCTATTCTCTTCTTCTGGGGATTTGTTAGACATTATCTTTTGGGCTGGACAATATTTTGTGTTTTTGTGTTAGATTTCTTATATTTATTGGGTTTTTTTCTTGATAATTTTCTCTACACTCTAGGATATGTTGTTAGCTACTGTGAATTTTTAGACAGAAAAAAAAAACCCACAGGAAATAGCTAAGCTATGCAGTAAACGACTACATTACTTCCCCATCCCACTCCAGAACCAAAATAAGGGGGCACATGCCTATTGCACCAACCACCACTCTCTAAGTGAGGAGCCCTAGCTTGTTCTAGTTGTGTACATCATTGTTTTACAAGAATTTGTTTTTGTTTTTATTTTTGTTTTTTATTTTGGCACGATATAGTGGCAAATGCTACTATGTGAGTGGAGTAAGAGGTTGTCAAGACAACAATCTAAAAGAGCATTCCTTAGAAAGTCTTCCAGCTAATTACTTTTCTTTAGATTTCTCCTTATAATCTATACTCTCCTCCTTGACAAAAGACTCCTTCCTGGTTTTGCCATGAGAAATAGTTTCATCTGCATTGTGCTGTTGCTGTACTTTCTCTACACTGCCATTCTCTTCATTGATCGAGAGCATTATCCCCTCTGCTTCTCATTTCCTTTCCAATTTTCTAGCCTTTCCATGCTCTGTGCTCTTATTAACTTATTCTAATTTTGATACCTTTTACTGGTCTAATCCAGAATCTTAGGAGAGAACAGATGTAAATATTTATAGTCAATATTTTGTTTTGAACTGGAAGCCATGGAAAATATTTTCAAACTGGTCAAAGTGTAAGCACAAACTTAATAGAAACACAAATATTGAAATTGTTAATTTGTTAAAATAATATCACTAGGAAAAAATATTGTCCCTATTAATATTTCATCAATGTGTCAAATTTTATTGATTTCTTCTCAATAGCATCTTTCTCTAAAGCAATGATTATTGCACCAATTATTTATTTTATCACTTATGTATTAGAGAAAAGAGAACTGAGTCACAAGAGATCAATGGTAACTTGTACATACCATATTTAATGACTAACAAGAAGCCATTTGTCCTGAATTTTAAGGGCTTTAAAAAAATACATAATAATTATTAGATATGTTCAACTTCCCAGAATTTCTGGTTAACAGACAATAATGCTTACTTAGATGGATTCATGAAAACTAATATTAGTCACCTAATATTGACTGTTAAATAGGTGGAGAATTTTGTATTATTAGAGTTTGATTTCAAGTAAAATCTGAGCATATTCTAAGGATATGATTGGTTGACAAGTTCCCAGCCAAAATGCTGCGCCAAGTACAGAAAAAATTACATTGAATAGAATATTTATTTAGTCTTAGAAATATCTGATATTTTCCCCTGTTGTATTGGGAAAAAGACAAAAACAAACTTTTCTTGCCCAATACAAAAATAAACCCTTTAGGTCTTTGTCTCCCTCAGAGAGAGTGTCTTGGGAATCATTTATATTTAGATCTCATCAAAGACCACCAGAGTTTATGTTTCCATGTCAGTATTATATATAAAACAGAACCCATGTTAGCCCTGAGCCACCCAGGCGTCCCTCATTTTATGGTCTTAATGCATTTTAAAGAATTTATGGTCTTAATGCATTTTAAATATTCAGATAATTATTTCAAGAGAAAAAGCAGAAAATTACAGAAATCCATGAAATGGTCTAGTTGTTTCCAAAAGAACAACTATAGATTATGTACAATAAATATCACTTCAGGGGTAAAAAAAAACATGCAGAAGTACATTTAAAATGGTTTTCAACAGGTCCTCTGTCTTTTTTAACCACCACATTGGTACATTTAAATCATTATCTCTGAAAATAGTACCAATGAACACATACTCTTTTTCTAAAACTGTATCACCAATGTTTCATAAAATAAGTCAAATTTTCAGTGGAGCCTCTTCCTAAGAAAAGATGTTGAATAAATGTTAATTTTATATTTGATTGTTTCTTAATTTTTCTTAAATTTCAAATAATTTTAAATATAACATATACAGCTGATCAGTTTAATTTATCAATTTGGGGCCACAATGTGGAGTTAATCTTGATATTAAGAAGAATTAAAAATCAGGGAGCCTGGGTGGTCAGTTGGTTAGGAGTCCAACTCTTGATTTTGGCTCAGGTGGTGATCTCAGAATGGCAAGATCAAGCCCCCTCCAAGCTCCCACTAAGTGGGCAGTCTGCTTGAGATTCTCTTTCTTCCTAGCCCTTTGCCCTCCCTCCACTTGTGCGTGGGCTCTCTTTCTCTATCTCTCTCTGAAATAAACAAATCTTTTTTTAAAAAGAAGAAGTAAAAATCAATATTTATGTCCTAAAAGTGCAAAAGTAAATAAAACTCCATACTCACCCCAAAAGTTCAGGCAAATCAGTGTGATCATGAAAATAAGGAACCCAATACAGCCAAATACTAGCATAAGACGATGATATCGTGGATACAGGGAGAAATCTGAAATATGGAGAATTTTCTGGTGAATTTTAGAGCTCACTTGAGTATTCACTTTATAAACATTTTCCCTGTTTATTTTTATTACAAAGATAATCATGTTCATGTGACAGAAAAATTTGACTAATTGAAAATTTGAAAATGCAATGTATTTACAGTCCAAAACCAAAGAGATGCTACTGTTATTTAATATGTTGGGTTGTATTGTTATTGCCTTGCTTTGTTAATTATTTGGTGATGTTTTTGATGACTTAAAAATGATTTATTAAATTGTATATGTATTATATATAGTGTAAATACTTTATAAATAATGTAGAGTGTTATATATTATATGTATTTACATTAATATATAAAAATAATAGAAATATATATTTTATATTGTCTTTATAGAATACTATATATTATATAATATAAACATATTATATAAATGTATAATATATAGAATAATTCTACGTACAATAATTCTAGATAAATGAAATTGTTTTACCTAACATTATTTTTGAATTGTTCATTGCCAAGTGCATATATGTTATATGTGTTTATTTTAATGATCCACTGTTAGAAATTAAAGAAGGAAAAATACATTTATCAAAGTTCTATTATGTACCAATCACTATACTGGTAATAGTCATGTTATTTCACTTTTATATATGATATATTGTATTTTCCTGGCTTGAGTTTTTGGACAGGAAACAGTGTCAATCTAAGTATCACACATCTCGATTAATGGTGCTTATAGAGAATTATATAGAATTTATGCCATAGTATTCTTCTTGGATCAGAGTTGGCAGGAATGATCTCACAGAGGAGGAAACAGGAAGCATCCAAAGACATTGAACAGGTCTATAAATATATTATTTTTCTCTTTCGATTGTATGTATTTGCTTCTACATCTGAGCATTTTTGAATAAGTTGGATATATACACTCTTTCCACAAACAAAATGAACACAGGTATCCTTTTACATGAAGATACCATAGGAATATTACCTCAATCCAGACATTCTAGCCAATTTGTCATCCTGGTGGCCAAAGAGAAAGTCAAATAATCTGATATTCAGATAATTATTCCCTAGTTTTTATTAGCTTATAAATAAACAAGCTCTTAATATCAAACCTTGGTTGTGCATTTCACAAATAATTTATCTTCTAAGTCATAATAAGAAGTGCTGTTTCCGTGTGTATGTTTTACTTTCATTTTATGGTTTGTTTTTGTTCTTTTGTGTGTGTGTGTGTGTTTTGTCAGAGAGAGTGAGCACAGGCAGACAGAGTGGCAGGCAGAGGCAGAGGGAGAAGCAGGCTCCCTGCTGAGCAAGGAGCCCAATGTGGGACTCGATCCCAGGACACTGGGATCATGACCTGAGCAGAAGGCAGCCGCTTAACCAACTGAGCCACCCAGGCGTCCCTCATTTTCTGGTCTTAATGCATCTGATTTTATGTATAGTACACACTCACAGAATGTCCCATATGTAGTAAAACCTTTGAAATTTACCAACCAATTGTCTGTATTACAGAATAAATCCAAAATAAGTTTGTTTGGTTTTTTTTGCCTTGCCTATAGGTATTCTTTCTGCTTAAGCAGAAGTGAAAAGACTTCCACTTTAGCTGATAATCCTCAAAATACATTTCTGCAGTTTTATGAGGGACACCAAACCTAGGCATACAGATCTGCAGTTTGCTGGTTCCATATTTGCTAGAAAGGGAAATGTTAAACTCATTCCAAGATAATATTATAGCTATAAATTAAAAATCAGTAATTTTTAATATAAACCAAAATATGCATACATATATAAAGTCAGGTGAACAGAGAGCTGTGTACGTGGAGTGCATTGCCCTGGGCAATTCTGGAATTGCCATTGGCCTAAGTGGGGTAATATTAAGAAGTCACTCTGTGAAACCTGTTATCACTCCTGCAAGATCACCATTGGGTTATTTATATCTGCTTTCTAATGGGAAGATTTTCTTTTTGGATTCAGTGCCAAGATTAATTCATATTTGTCTTAAGCATGGATGCAACTTCGACGCAGCTGAAAAATTAGCAATGTTTCCCTTACTCATCAAAACAGAGAAGCTTAGAAACAAATTTATAACAAGCACAAACATGCTGAATTACATACTTCTTGCTTAGTTGCAGGCCTAGTTCATGTTTCTAGTCCTTCCTTCTTTCACTCATAATTCAAATGGATGTTTACTTCATATTTTATGTACATATACTCAGACTTTATATATTTTTATTCACTTTATTATAAGGTGGTTTAGAAATTACAGAAAAAATCATTAATAATTTAGTTAACATCTACATAAACAACCACAAGTGAGGTTGGCTTTATTATAAGTAAAAATTATGAGATTTAAGAAGACAAAAAGATTTCCACAAGGCCACCAATTTTGTCTGCAGGACTTAGGATCCAATTTAGCCAATTTGACTCCAATGGTCAGTTTTTTACTACATCAGTCTAAGTTGCTAATTAAAAAAGGTGTGTTTGCTTCCTGATATTTGGAAACAAGTAGTACATGAAGAGGTTCAGCAAGAGTCTAGATGGCAGAGCTGCGATTTGTGATCAGCAATTTCAAATTCCTGGCCCATGTCATCCCAGCTTAGATCATGGCTTATTTTTTGCTTTACACATTTATTGCAGACAGAGTGAATTTAGACATCAGTATATTGTTTATTAAACATTTCTACAGAACCTGGGACAGATCTGAAAACACACAAACACAGATAAAAGCTTGACCCAAATATAGCAGCTCTAAGTAGTGAAATTAGTTTTAGTTTGTCCTTCTCTCATTTCCAATAGACTATTCTGCCAAACATATGGATCTTTTGTGGAAAATAAAAAATACAATCTGTATACATGAAAATGCTTTTTATGCTATAGAATACTCTAGAACCACTGCTACTCCCACCGTTAGCAGATTTTTACCTTCCCTGTGTGGCAGGTATCTTCATGTCGGTATCATTCCCAGATAATTGCTCCTAAAAATCTTGTATTTTGTAAGATGAATAATTTCTTTAAAAATACTATTTTTGACCTTTTACTTGAAAGTTACATTTTTTTTCTCATGCTATAACATTGAGGGGATTATATATCATTGTATTAGCATTTCACATGGCTGCAAAAATACTGCATTTTTCAAGTTTATGTGAGTCTAAATAACCTATCTTAGACAATTTGTGAATTTTTTTTAAGTCCCAGAATGTAGTTAATTTTAACTCTTTTAAATATTCGAAGATAATAATCTTCTTAAGAGAGTAATGCAATTTCAAGCCAGAGTCAGAAGGGAGATAATATTCCTACCTTTAGGCCTCTGTCTGGATTTTAAAATATTCCTATAATCCAATACCATATAGCCATCTTCATTTTCCATCTATGTGATATTACCCAGAAAACAGTAAAAAGAAAATGGAGAATAGTGTTAGCTTAGGTATTTCTCCAAGGCATAATGTACCAAAAGCTGAAAGGAAGTCCAAAAATACTCAAAATTTACTCAGATATGGGCGGTTAAAACCACACAGGATGCATTGGTAAAATACAAATGTATAACCATGTTAATTTCTGGCTAAACTTCTGTACCCTCAAGGTAAATGTGGCCATATTATTCCATTTCTTCAACAGATATTTATTGTGTATTTACCATGTACCAGTCAGTTGCCTGCAGTGTATTTAAGAACATAATAGTGAAAAACATAAAAGTACTTTCTACGCTCATGTCCTTTATATTCTATTAAAAGAAGAAAATGAAATTAGCCAAATACATGCCAAACAAATGAGAGAACAGTGTCTAGCTAGCTAAGAATAAATATTTTAAACAAAAAAAAATTAAAATACCCATTTTGCTATTGGGGGCATGTCTGACTAATAAGAGTCTAGAGAAAAATGCTTGTATGAGGCAAAACAGGAAAATAATAGTAAGTCTCAAAGTGGTGGGAACAAGAGTTACTATGAACATAGTAACTTTTCAAGAATTTTTTTTTTTTTTCCAGAAAAATTCCTGGCAGAGAGATTTTTTTCCTTCTGTAAGTGTGGTAGTTACTTTTATGTATTGACTTGCCTGGCTGGGCTACAGAGTGCCCAAATATTTGGTCAAACATTTTGACCATTTTTGTGATGATGGTTTCGGATGAAGTTCGTATTTAAACCAGTAGACTTTGAGGAAAACAGATCACTCCATGATATTAGTGGAACTCATGCAATCAGTCGAAGGCCTGACTAGAACAAAGACTGGCCTCCTAAGAGACTCTTAACTCTAGGAAACAAACTGAGGGTTGCTGGAGAGGAAGGAGGATGGGGGATGGGGTAACCAGGTGATGGACATTAAGGAGGGCACATGACGTAATGAGCACTGGGTGTTGTATGCAACTAACTGATGAAGCACTGAACTCTGTCTCTGAAATGAATAACACATTATATGTTAATTAATTGAATTTAAATAAAATAAAATTTAAAAACTGGCCTTCTCTGAGCAAGAAATACCCCATTAATCCATTGTGTTTTCCTGCTTCTTCTGCAATATTGGCTTTTCCTGGTTCTACAGCAGATGGCTTAAAAAACTGATGGGGCGCCTGGGTGGCTCAGTCTGTTAAGCATCTTCCTTCAGGTCAGTTCATGATCCCAGGGTCCTGCTCAGTGGGGACTCTGCTTCTCTCTCTCTCCACCCCACTTGTGCTTTCTCTCTCTCGCTCACTCTTTCCCTCAAATGAATAAAATTAAAATAAAATAAACTCAAACTGAAACATCAGCTTTCCAGGGTATCAAAAGTGCCAGTCCATCCTGCAGATTTTTGATTTGCTAGGCTCTATAATCTCATAAGCCAATTCCTTATAATGAATCAATCATCTATCTATCTATTTATCATCATCTTATCAGTTCTGTTTTTTTAGAGAACTCTGACTTACACAGTCAGGTTTGGAGTATGGTCCAGTAATCTTCGCTTTAAGAATCATCACCAAATGATATATATACAAATACTTGCACCATACACTTAAAAAACAGTGTTTTGTGAATAGTTTTAAATATACTTGATGTATGCTCAATTAATGTGTTTTAACAATGAATCCCACATTAAATTAAAACCTTTTATATAGTTGTGGCCAAAATTAACAGTCTATATTTTGACATCCTCTAATCTTGCCTAAGATCTGTTGATTTACCCTCCTGTTTTTCCTCTGTACAAGTTTGACATGTAGTCACCCTTGTTTCAGGGGCCTTATAATAAAGCAAATTTCATCTTCCTCCAGTCTTAGCCTGCACTAATCTGCTAGGGTCATTTTAAAGAAAAATAACTCATTTAAATCATCCATGACTTCCCAGATGTTAATTGCAGTACATATATTTCAGCCTGTAGCTTATAAGAAACTCAGAATTATTAAACTTTTGAGAAAAAAATTCCCCTCTTTTTGAAAGTCTTCACCTCAATTTTGTGATACCACATTCCTCTGATATTTCTTTATCTTCTCTGATAGCTTTTTTTAAAGCAGATTTATCTTCCTTTCACTAACTATTTAATGTTAGATTTCCTATAATCCTAAATAATTTCCTCTCTTCATTTCACTTTCTTCTCAGTAAAACTCTTATTCATAACCATGACCTAAATTAGTATCTATTTTTTCAACTACCCCTAAAGCTCATCACTGAAACTTCATTTGAGCTCCATACAATACACCCAACTGATTTCATAGTATCACAATGGCTCAAACAAAGTATTTCTACAATTGAATGCATGATTTTCTTCCTATTCAGTGTTTCCTACTGCACTCTATTTCACCACTACCCAACCAATTGTGAAAACAGTTTTGTTCCTGTCCTTTGCCCCTTCTTCAAGTAAGCACCAAGTCCCATAGATTTTGCTCCTGAAATGTCTGTCCAATCCATTTACTTCTCTCCACCTCAGTAGCCTTATCAATTAATTATCAATTAATAAGGTACTCACATCTCAAGCTTCTAATATTTCAATGACCTCCATATGAGTCTTCAGGGGTCCCCTTATCTATTTTCCTTTCTTCATCCAGACAAATCTTTGGTAAACTTATTCAGCTTCTTATCGCCTTTTATCAGTTCTTTTAATGAATACAAACTGCATAGCATGACTTATAAGCAATAGTCTTCATCTGTGTTTTCTTGTTAAGATCCTGCTCTCTGCTCCCCTTTATAAGGACCACCCTCTATCCTATTCATGTGATTCACCTTCTCTCTAAGATTGGCTGCCCTGACCAGATCCAGGGACAGCCATTTCAAGACATTTAATACTAAACATGCAAGTAATTATGTCCATTATTTTCAGATTTTTGACACCAGACTTTTCATTAAATTCATGAAGGTCTGAAAAATGCAGACAAAACTTAATATTTATTCACTACTATATTTTTATTTTAATATTATTTTTTAAAAGATTTATTTATTTATTTTAGAGACCAAGAGCAAGGGAACACAGGGTGTGGGGAGGGGGGTAGGGAGGGGGGAGGCAGAGAGAGAGGGAAAATGAAACCTAAGCAAACTCTGCACTGAGTGTGGAGCCAGATGTGGGGCTTGATCTCATAATACTGAGATCAAAGTGGAGCTGAAACCAAGAGTTAGAGGCTTAACCAACTATACCACCCAGGTTGACCACACTACTATATTCTTAAAATGCTGTTAAACTATAACATAGTTTTACTTTCACTAGGAATTTTTCCAATTTTTTCCTCTAATGAAAACTTCACCTATTTTACATTACTTTTAACCACAATTTTCCCCAAATATTATTAAATTAAAAATGTTTGCCTTCAGTCCCAATTACCTGTCTTTTCTTACTGTATCTTTTTTTCCTTTATCTCTCTAAATCAGTAATTTTTGACAGTGCTATTAATTACTAGCAACAAAATCAAAAGTTACCACTTATAGAAGTTATACAAATCTCCCTTGAGAAAACAGAACCAAGATCCAGACCCAAGCCTCTCTTGTTTCCATTAACACCACTCTGAGTCACAACAGATGTTAGCTATCTCAAGACTGCATCATTTATGGCCTGGACTCTTCCAATGGTCAATTGGTGGAGTCAAAGTCTACCCAGATCCTTTGTGTTCATCCTCCATGAACACACCCACAAAAACAGAAAAATTAGCTTAAAATTTTGAAAAAATATATATGAGGAAGTTTGGCTAGTGAGTTATAGAATAAGTAGATCTTATTTCTTTGAGAAAATATGGTGTGTTAAGAAAAGATGAATAGTCCCAGGCTCAATAACTACTGGACCATAGGATGCCCAGATATTTGGTTAAATTTTATTTCTGGGTGTATCTGTGAGGGTGTTTCTGTAAGAAATTAGCATTTGAATTGAAATGAACCCCCAAAATGGATGAGCTTAATCAGATCTGATGACGGATTAAAAAGTTTAAAAAGTCTGAGGATGTTGGAATTTACTCTCTCCACATCAATTTGTTTTTGAGCTGTTGATGAAGTCTTAGAATATAGATAAGGTTTAATGATGTAGAGTTCCAAGCAGATGGACAAGAAAGAATTCTTGAGATGTCTTTTGTGCAAAATGGTGGTTTATTAAAGCACAGGGACAGGACCTGTGGGCAGAAAGAGCTGCTGCCCTGGGGTTGTGAGAAGTGGTCCATTATATGCTTGTAAGTTGGGAGGGGGTCAGGGATTGCATAAGTCTCTAAGGACTTTTGGAAGCAAAGTTTCCAGGACCTTGAGGAGCTAGCTATTGTTGGGAAAAGGTTATTCATTACCAGTAATAAAACCTTTTCGTGAGACCCTTTAAATGTATATCAGTGGGCCATACGCATGGGAATGATTGTCGACACTATGTTGGAGGGTTTACAGATAAAGTTTCTGAAGGAATTGTTGAAGTAGACTTACAGGATCCTGGTTGGGGTAGGATCGGTCAGGGTAGGATTGCCCTTTGCCCTTAGTAAAGCCTTAAGGTGGGGGTAGTTGAGTCCCTAAAGGAATGTCACTTTGCCTGTTTTAAGGACTTATCAGTGAATAAGGAAATTTAATTTTCTTCTGCCTCTGTGTCCCACATCACTGTGATATCAGTTTTCTCCTTCTCTTGGGCCAGAACTTTTATCAACAGCTCTCCTGGTTCTTGGGCTTTCAGATTTGGACTGGAGCCACACCCTCACCTCCCTTGAGTCTTCAGTTTGCCAACTGCAGATTGTGGGACTTCTCAGCTTCCATAATTGCGTGATCCAATGGAGTTTCTGGGATCCATTCTTTTATATGATTAGAGTGAGACACTAATGACTCTATTTCCAGTAGTGGTAAACAGAGTAGAGTACTGAAGTAATCTGCCAATAGAGATATGCAAAATATCCCCATGGATACACCTAGTCAACTGTACACAAGAAAGAAGGAACTCAGTGTTTGTATATATGATACCTTCATTGATGCTATGATATAAACATTTTCACAAAAGTAACACATATAATGAGATTGCCTGGTTGCTACTAATGT